CCTCCAACAAGAGCTCACTCCTGGTCCTTCTGAAATAATACCACCTCCTGGTAACTAAGCATTGAAATGTATGAGTCTCTGGGGGCTGTTCTTATTCAAACCACCACATTATCCCACAGTAGAGCACAGAGAACTAATGTAGTTCCTGTCTTAGGCATAGAGGTTTATTTATATTGTCTATTCACAATGTTGTCTCGTTAAGACATCATCATACCACATAAACTCAGAGCTTGTTTAGCATAAGGAAGAGCCCCAGATCCGAAGGTGGCTGCATTCCCACACTCTTCACACGACCAATGTAGCCATGTACAACCTGTCACAGCTACTATAAGCACAGGGAACTCACTTCCCATAGCATGATGGTGTTCAGCAGAACTGTTCCAGTAATGGGTTACTTTCCTTCTCTTTGAATAATTTGGACTTTCCCTTCCTGCAGATGGGTGTACCCCACTGATGCTGGCTTCTCTCCGAGGAGGCAGTTCAGACCTGAGCGATGAAGATGAAGACGCAGAGGACTCTTCTGCCAACATCATCACAGACTTAGTCTACCAGGGTGCCAGCCTTCAGGCACAGACAGACAGGACTGGCGAGATGGCCCTGCACCTTGCAGCCCGTTATTCACGGGCTGATGCTGCCAAGCGCCTTCTGGATGCTGGTGCAGATGCCAATGCCCAGGACAACATGGGTCGCTGCCCTCTTCATGCTGCCGTTGCAGCAGATGCCCAAGGAGTTTTCCAGGTGACGCGCTTAGCTTAGGAGTTGGTTTGAGCGTGAAGCATGAGGTAGCTCGGGGTAAAGTCCTGTCGTGGTTCCTTCTCTATGGCTGTGATAGAGCACTTTGGCAGCTCCCAATAGGAAGACATCAATGGCGCTTATGCTCCTGGAGGATTGGAGTCCACGGTGGTGGAAGGAACAGCGGAGAGCCACACCTTGAACTGCAGACAGGGGTGGAGAGCGACTGGGAATGGCACAAGTCTTTCAAAGCCTGCCCTGTGACATACTTCCTCCAGTGAGGCTGTGCCTCCTGACCCTTCCCAAATGGCCACCAGCTGGGGTCCAGATAGTGAAATGCCCTGAGACTTACTAGGACCTCTCTTTCACACCACCACAAAGCTCTTGCCGCCAACCCTGAAAGCCTGGTTCAGTCCCCAGGATCCATAGAGTGAACTAAGAGAACTGATTTGATTCCTGCTGGTCGTCCTCTGACCTCCACGTGTGAGCCATAGCACAAACATGCCTGCACACACACTAAGATAACTTATAGGCCTGTAATGCTTGCACGCTACTAAAACACGTAACTGTCTCACTGGATTCATTCAGAAGTCTCTGAGAAATTAGTTATGCTTGACAGAAAAGGGAGGAAAGCCAGCTGACCTACTTTGAACAGCCAGAGAGTGACTCAGTCAGCAGCAGGGTTCTGAATCTTTTATCCTCTTTTTTTTTTTTGAGATTTTTATAATTCATATTTATTATTTTCTTTTTTAAATTACAAAGCATTTATTTAAACATAAATATATATAATACTTTTTAAAAATGTATACAGCATGGCATTTTTATATATTTTTAAATTTAAATTAGAAACATGAATGCTTCACATGCCAATCCCAGCTCCCTCTCCCACCCCTCTTCCCTTGTCCCTCCACCAGCCCTCCCAATACCCCACCCAATCCCCACAGCATTCGCCAGAGAGGGTGAGGCCCTCCTTGGGGGGATCTCCAGAGTCTGTGATTTCATCCAGGGCAGGACCTAGGCCATTCCCCATGTGTCCAGGCTGAGAGAGCATCCTTCCATGTGGAGTGGGCTCCCAAAGATCATTCGTACGCCATAGTAAACATTGGTCTACTACCCAAGGCCCCAAAGATTGCTGAGGCCTCCTCACTGACACTATATTCATGGAGTCTGGATCAGTCCCATGCTGGCCTCTCAGGCATCAGTCTGGGGTTCAAGAGCTCCCCCTTGTCCAGTCACCTGTCTTTGTGGGTTTCACCAGCACAGTCTTGACCCCTTTGCTCATCACTCCTCCATCTCTGTTACTGGGTTCCAGGAGTTCAGTCCAGTGTTTAGCTGTAGGTATCTGCCTCTGCTTCTATCAGTCACTGGATGAAGGTTCTAGGATGGCATATAAGGTAGTCATCAATCTTATCATTAGGGAGGGGCTATTAAGGTAGTCTCACCATTATTGCTTAGTTTGCCAGTTGATGTTATCTTGTAGATCTCTGGAAATCTCCCTAGTGTCAACTCTCTCCTCAAACCTATAATGACTCCATCTATTAAGATATCTCTCATCCTGCTCTACTCTATTCTTACCCCGACTCGACCTTCCTGCTCCCCCATGTCTTCCTCTGCCCTCTTCTTCTCCCCCTCTCTTTTTCCCTGGTTCCCTCTCCCCTCCTCCCCGTTCCCAATCTGCTCAGGAGATCTTGCCTCATTCCTCTTCTCTGGGTTATCATACATATCTCTCTTGGGAACCTCCCTGTTTCCCAGACTCACTGACAATGGGATTGTAGGCTGACACTCCCCTGATCCATGTCTAACATCCATATATGAGTGAGTGGATACCATGTTTGTCTTTTTGTGAATGGGTTACCTCACTCAGGATGGTTTCTTCTAGTGCCATCCATTTGCCTGCAAATTTCAAGATTCCAAGGCAACCCACAGAATGGGAAAAGATATTCACTAACCCCACATCTGCCAAAAGGCTGATCTCCAAAATTTACAAAGAACTCAAGAAGCAAGTCTCCAAAACACCAGAGGATCCAATTAAAAAGTGGGGGACTGAACTAAATAGAGAATTCTCAATAGAGGAGGCTAAAATGGCTGACAGACACTTGAGAAAGTGCTCAACATCCTCAGCCATTAGGGACATGCAAATCAAAACAACTCTGAGATACCATCTCACTCCTGTCAGAATGGCTAAAATCAAAAACACAAATAACAGCTTATGCTGGAGAGGACGTGGAGAAAGGGGAACACTCGTCCATTCCTGGTGGGAGTGCAAACTCGTACAGCTACTTTGGAAATCAATATGGAGATTCCTCAGGAAAATGGGACTCAGTCTACCACAAGACCCAGCAATTCCACTCTTAGGCATATACCCAAAAGATGCCCATTCATACAACAAGGATGTCTGTTCCACTATGTTCATAGCAGCATTATTTGTAATAGCCAGATCTGGGAAGCAACCTAGATGCCCCTCAACTGAAGAGTGGATAGAGAAACTGTGGTACATTTACACAATGGAGTACTACTCAGTGGGTTCTGAATCTTACTCAGCAATATTTTAATGTTTTACAAAGAAGCCTCGCAGATGCACAGGTCAGATGGGAGCAGTAACTGGTCCAAATCCTCTATAGCTCTGCCTGTCTGTGCTCTACAGCTGATCACTGGCATAGTCGGCAGTGTATTCCTTGATACTCTAGTATTTTAACCTGATGAGTTGTTCTGGATGACCTCAGGTTATACACATGATTGAAGTTGTTATCCTCCGCTACCACCACACACACGTTCTCCTTCCTTAGAAAGCCCAACATCGTCCTGATGGGCAGTATGCCCCCATCATCCACCAATGGTTCATTCTTGTATTCAGCAACTGTGTAATGATTGGACATTATGGTGTCTAGGGAAAGAAGATAATACAATTTTTCCTGCCCTCTAGAAACACCCAGGATAGCCTCATTGGAATGCTTCTGTTTCATTCTTTTTCTTCATCTAAGAGATATTTTTTCGGCTTCTCGTCTAGATTCTGATCCGCAATCGAGTAACCGATCTAGATGCCAGAATGAATGATGGTACTACACCCCTGATTCTGGCTGCCCGCCTGGCTGTGGAAGGAATGGTGGCAGAGCTGATCAATTGCCAAGCAGATGTGAATGCAGTGGACGATCATGGTAGGGACAAGGACTGGGGTTTGGATTCTTGTCTACAAAGCAAGTCTCTAAGCAAGGGAATTGTTAAATGACCTGAGAATACTTTCCCAGAGAGAATCCATTGCCAGGTCCTTCATTCTCTTACCCACCATTCATACAGTTTCCCTTCAATATGTAGGGCTCAAAGAGCTGAGGGAGTAGGAGCTCCTAGATTAAGATGAGAAGTTCGGAGGGTTGTTTTGTTTTGTATGAGGGTTTTTGGACATCATGAAAAGTTTGTCTGTGTGGGTTCATTGCCATAACCACTCATCATATGGGAGCGGATTCACTAGGGGGGTTGTGAGATATCCTAACTGTGCAATTGGTGTAAAATAAAATGTCTACTGTCTTCAGTATGTGAAGGTTGTGCGTGTGGAGGACATACATATTAGACCCAGGGATCCTTTTACCTAGGGACTCCCAGCCTGTTCTAGAATATTCTGAGATAAAGAAAGAAATACAGCTGTGCTGTCCTATGAGCTCCCTCAGCCACTGACTTCCTCCTGCTCCCCAGGGAGCTCGAGGCTTCCTTAAAAAGCCAGGGTGTTTTCCTTAGTGTCAGTCTCCTCTTCTGTGCACTTATAAAATGTTGGCCCTGCAGGAAAATCTGCCCTCCACTGGGCAGCTGCCGTCAATAATGTGGAGGCGACTCTCTTGCTGTTGAAGAACGGGGCCAACCGAGACATGCAGGACAATAAGGTAGGCACAGAGCCTGGGGAACCTTTTAGCAGTGTCTTATTCAGGAGGCCACTTGTGGAAGGAAGCTTTTTGGTCCAGAGACCCTCTCCTGTGTTCTGGATTCTTTGCATACCTTGGTTTCTCCTCTCTTATCTGTAACTCAATTTCCTCTCAGCACTTCAGTGTTGAAAGATAAGCTTGTCTCTTAGTTGGATCTCTGGCTGGAGGCCTGCTTTATCCCACTGATTACTGTGTTAGCAGATGATGCTCCTGAGAGCATAGTGAGGCCTTTGGGAGAAATGAAATCTCTGTGGAAATCACAGATTCACATTCAATGCATAGGAAGATGCACTGGGTACCCAAAGCATTAACAGTTCCTAGGGGAAGCACTTAGCAAACACAAAAGGGATAAAAGAATAAAGGTTAGAAACACTCTCTTTTTTTAATTCATTTTACATACCAACCACAGTCTGCCACCCGCCCTCGCCCCTGAAAAGTTAGGTAACAGGGACATATGGATCACCCAGGGAAGGGAAAATAGATAACATTTCCTGGGTAAATGGGGATGGGGGTGGGGACAGAGATAGAAACATTCTTATGTTCTCTGGGTATTAAGATGTGTTCTTGTGTCTTTCTTCAGGAAGAGACACCTTTGTTCCTCGCTGCCCGGGAGGGAAGTTATGAAGCAGCCAAGATCCTGTTAGACCATTTTGCCAATCGGGACATCACAGACCACATGGACCGCCTTCCTCGGGATGTGGCTCGGGATCGCATGCACCATGACATTGTTCGCCTCCTGGACGAGTATAACGTGACTCCAAGCCCTCCAGGAACTGTACTGACATCAGCTCTGTCACCTGTCCTTTGTGGACCCAACAGGTCTTTCCTCAGTCTGAAGCATACCCCCATGGGTAAGAAGGCTAGACGGCCCAACACCAAGAGCACCATGCCCACGAGCCTGCCTAACCTTGCCAAGGAGGCCAAGGATAGCAAGGGGAATCGGAGGAAGAAATCTCTGAGCGAGAAGGTCCAGCTGTCCGAGAGCTCGGTGACTTTATCCCCTGTTGATTCTCTCGAGTCTCCTCACACCTATGTTTCCGATGCCACATCCTCTCCCATGATTACATCCCCTGGGATCTTACAGGCCTCACCCACCCCGCTGCTGGCTGCTGCTGCCCCAGCTGCCCCCGTGCATGCCCAGCATGCGCTGTCTTTCTCTAACCTTCATGAAATGCAGCCCCTGGCTCCTGGAGGCAGCACTGTGCTTCCCTCAGTCAGCCAGCTGTTAGCCCACCACCACATCGTCCCCCCCGGCAGCGGTAGTGCAGGAAGCTTGGGCAGGCTACATCCAGTGACTGTCCCAGCAGACTGGATGAACCGTGTGGAGGTGAATGAGACCCAGTACAATGAAATGTTTGGCATGGTCCTGGCTCCTGCTGAGGGAGCCCACCCTGGCCTGGCTCCTCAGAGCAGACCACCGGAGGGGAAGCACATCTCCACCCAGCGGGAACCCTTGCCCCCCATTGTGACTTTCCAGCTCATCCCAAAAGGCAGCATTGCCCAGGCAGCTGGAACTCCTCAGACACAGTCCAACTGCCCTCCAACTGTTGCAGGCCCCTTGCCTTCTATGTACCAGATCCCAGAGATGGCCCGTTTGCCTAGTGTGGCTTTCCCACCTACCATGATGCCCCAGCAGGAGGGGCAGGTAGCTCAGATCATTGTTCCAACCTATCATCCATTCCCAGCTTCTGTGGGGAAGTACCCCACACCCCCCTCCCAGCACAGCTACGCCTCTTCAAATGCTGCTGAGAGAACCCCCAGTCACGGCGGTCACCTCCAGGGTGAGCATCCCTACCTGACACCATCCCCAGAGTCTCCTGACCAGTGGTCAAGCTCTTCCCCCCACTCTGCTTCTGACTGGTCAGATGTGACCACCAGCCCTACTCCCGGTGGTGGTGGAGGAGGTCAGCGGGGACCTGGAACACACATGTCTGAGCCGCCACACAGCAACATGCAGGTTTATGCTTGAAGAGTCGGCCTCGGGCATAGAGATGAAAGTGCCTATTGAGCATGCTGCTGAGGAACAAATGAAGGTTATCCGAAGAGAAATGAAGAAACCTCTGTAACCAGCTTTTGGAGGCAGGAGAGAAGATGCCCCCAACTTTCCAACAAGCAAGAGAAGCATTGCATTTATCTTCACTGAATATCTGTGCAGATTTAGGGGAGGACTCCACTCTGCTGATCTGTGACCATCGGACAAGTTCATGGAGATGCAAGATGAATCCAAGAGGCTCACTCTCTTCTTTTTGGAGAATACGATGGAGGCCTTTTACAGCCAGACATTTCTTGCAGCTTGAACATCATTTTAAGCCCTGGGGGCTTCTGTAACCAGGAGGAGATTCTTCTGGGAGTCTGACTGGGAATTGTGCCTGGGATTCTGCCCAGGTCCACCTGTCTTATCTTCTCAACCTGGAAACTGCCTTGACTTCACTTGGTGCTGTCCTCTCTGCACCTCTCTGTGGCTGATCCCCATCAGTGTGTAATAGGCAAGACTTTTGTGCTTTTAATCATTCCTGCCCTGAAAAACATCAGCCTGTGTTTCCACATGCCCAGTACCCCAACGGAGCCTCACAGGGTTTACTCTGGTTATGGTTCTCAGCCTCGGCCTTTGAAGTATGCTTCTATGGTAAACGTACACACTGCAGTCTTCATCTTTCATTCCTGAAAGGAAGGAGAAAGCAAGATATTCGAGGGATAGGAGACCCCTTCTGAACCTGCACCTTAATTCTCTCTCCCACATGTGGGCATGGGGCCCCATATACACTCACCAGGAGGAAGGATATAAATTGTTCTTCTGCATGTTGGCCTAGTCAGTATAAACGTGTACTCTAGGAGACCTAGGTACTATGATACTCCCATTTTGTTGTAAAGCAGGAAAAGTGGGAGAATGTTGGAATGACCAAGAGATAAGCTAACTCACTCAAGAAGCAATTGCCCACCTGCAGGCCCTCCACTGACTGCCACTGTGAAGCACATTTATCCCCAAATCCCAGGACTCATTGATCCAACAGATGAAGGTACTCTTGGCTGCTGCACTGCTCCTCATAGATGCCCTCGCCACTTAGGACTGAGCTTGCCGGAGGTTCAGGGGACCCAATGACTGTCGCCTTACTAATGACCAGTTTTCTTTTAGGTCAGAGGCTAGTTTATCTGATTCCCTCCACACTGTGTGATCTGCGCCATTGGTGCACACAGTGGGTTCTCAGGAAAGACGTGGAATCTGTGTTCGGGTTGCAGAAGTGGAGAATGGACGGTCCCCTGAGCACACAGATGAAGCGGTCTTTGTCTTTGCTTCATTTTCGACTTTCTCTAGGGTCACCTTCAGCTGGTGATGGCTGAGACTTGCTCTGCATTGTCCTTGTGTTCAGACTAAGATTGTACCTCCAATCCTGCTTCTTGTATTGTGGTCTCAGTGGTCTCTCGGACTCTCAAGAGCAGAAGGATTTGTAAAACTGGGATGGTGGTTTTCTCCATCTTTCCCCTCAGTCACTTAATAATTGACCCTGCAGCATCCCATTGCTTTTCCGTGGTGCCATGATGCCCATGACACAAGGAAAATGAGTTCTGCTGGAGCATTTGTGTATATTAGTAGGGAGATCACCTGGGGCGGGGGGATTGTTTGTTTTAGAGTTTTTTGTCATTACTTTAATAGTCTTTATTTCTGCAATAGTTGAAGTAAGTGCCCCCCTCTCATTGTCAATTTTTGGCCCCCTGTAGTAACTCTGTGCCTGTTACCATGGTAGTCTATAAACAAATGGGGAATTTTTAGTCCCATCCAAGTTCATTCAATCAACAAAATCAATTTGTTCCGTCCTGGTCTATGGCAGATTACGTTTGGTCATTCGGTTTTATTCTCATGAGGTGACATCATCCTACCAACCCTTTTCATGGTGTACAGACATTTTACTGCCCTAAATGGTGACTGTCCCCCCCATGGACAGTCCCAGATTAAGAGAGCCTGTGTGTGTGGACCTCTCTGCCCCCGGCTCTAGTGCCACTGCCTGGGAACAACAGCCTCTAATCCAGCCACTGGGTCTGTAATACCCTGGTCCTTCCCCAGACACAATGGAGAACAAACTTGCTGTTTCTCCTTCCAGGATCACTCAAAGTAGATCTAGGGTTTAGGAGGAGGGATGTAAAAGCTGCCATTACAGACAACAGGCTACAGAGATGAGGACAACTGCCAATTATGCCTCTGGTCCATCCCTTAGATGATAGAACTCTTGACCTATGTAAGGAAGCGGTGGGTAACCCTTTTCTCATGGGGTCTGAATCAGAAGCTAGGTTCTTATAGGACACATCCTTTAGTCCACGCATAGATCCCTGTTTTGGATTTATTTTTATTTCCATGAATTCTTCCTTTGTTTGACTTCCACATGCCTTTGAGAATTTTTCCAGTTGTTCTTTTGTTTGTTTTAAGCATCGTTTTCTGACTTATGTGATGGTGGGGCCTGAAGGAAAGAGGCTGAGTTGAAGATGTCAGTGAAAGGCCTCAGCACAGGTCTGCCACAGCACTTGATTGAACTTGGTTGCTCGTAAGCCTCGCATAGAAAAGAATCAAAGGTATGAGGTCTGTTAGCGTGTGGTTTGAGAACCTACACTTGAACCAGCGCCTTGAATGTATGAGGACTGTTTGGAAGGACACATGTCTATATCCTGAGGCCCCCACCCATAACTGTTTTGGTACTGTGGCAACTTCCTTGTATACATTTCCCTGAAAAGTGACATTATATCTATTTGTATGAGAAACTCAGTAACCAGAAAATGACTGCATGCTCCTGACTATAAACATAGGAAGGAAAGTGCGTACTGTTTTACTTTAAAATTTTTTCATTCTACAAGTAGTTTAAGATGAAATTTATATGAAAACATTTTTTATCACAAAATAAAAAAAGATTCCATGTCAAGACTTAGTGAAATCATACTCCACTCTTTTCCCCCACTCTGGTGCTTTGTTCTACATCATAGTTGGTGGAAGAAACTTAATTGTCTTCTTCCTGAATCTTAAAAAGCCTGGTACTGGAGTCCTTCTATTTTTCTAGTTTAGTCTGATCATAAGTAAATGCTTCTGAGGGGAAGGTCCCCATCTGTCCAGAGCATCATAACATGGAGTCACTCCCCACACCTTAACCATAGCAGGTGGCCAGCAGACAACTGCTCAGGACCAGCTGCCTCTCCGTGAAGCAGAGAATGTTTGCTGAAACAAGTGTTGGAAATTAGGATAGAAAAACCTACTGATGCATTTATCTGAACACCGATGGTTTGTATGGACTTTCTTGTAGCATATAATATATAGGATTATAAAATAATATTGGAACACAAATGGATTAACAAGTACATTGGTTTTTAGAGTCAGTCAGTGAGACATGAGTACTTGGTGGTGATGCAGTTGTGACGTCAGTAGTCTCATAGCAACCCTACCATCTAGCTTATTTCCATATTGTTTAACACATACTTCTAAATCATGTGGGCATGGTTATTTATAAATAATAATCTTTTTTTCCAAATGACTTGATTAAAATCTTGGGAGTTGTTTTGGTTAAGTAGTTGTCAGGTCTTCACAGTTACTTCCTAAGTATTATAATCGTACATAAAAACACATTGGCCTCCATCTGGACTTTATATTGGTGTACAGAGTCAAGCATCTACATAGCTTCACAGCCCAAGATCTGGGGACCGGCTCCCATCAGAATGAAGATGAAGTAGGACAGACTTCTGTAACGCCAGCACTCTGTTCACAATGTGGGATGTCAGAGATCTGGTTACTGCCTCTCATGCATGCCTCTGCCGTGGAAAGGGAGAAGGATAGAAACAGAATATGCTGGGGGGGGGTTGGCATAGAATAGTAAACAACTTTAAAGTTGCACACACATTCAAATTAGGATCATTGGCAGTTTATTTACAAAGGAATGAAGCAGACAGAGTGACAGATGACTGTATTCCCAGCACTTTGGAAGTGAAGGTAAGAGGAGTCCAAGTGTTAAGATCATCCTCAGCTACCTAGCAAATTCAAGGCCAGCCAGGCTTACACAAGACTCCGTCTCAATAAGGGAGGAGGTGTACATGCATGAGTGTTAGAAGTACAGTGTTGAACACAGAGACTCTGGTGGCATTGGCCAGTCTGTTAAACCTTTTGAGTACAAAGAAATGTAAGCCAAGAGGAATTACTGGAACCTAGAAGGAAAGCTGCTTATGGCAAATGTTGTGTCAAGGCACACAAGGAACCTTCCATACCTCTCAGAGGAAACCAAGGAATTAGTAACCAGATCTCACTCCCTTTCCCACCCCACCCTGAGAGACTGATGACAGTGAAAGCCAGGAAGTCTGGCCAAAGCTTAAGAGGTGAGGGAAATGGATTTGAAGATGTAAACCCCTTCCTCAAACGTCATCCTCCAATCACATTTTTATAAACTTCCACTGCTAGCCTGTCACTAGTGTGCAGAGAACACAAAGTAAAAGGAATTCTGTGCTGATAATCCTGCCTCACCTGGCCTGCTCCTGGGTTTCCTTACCATAGCCTTGACATTGATCATCCAACCTGGAGTCAGTCCAGCAGCATGATGGGTAATGATAATTCTTCAAGTCCTACAAACAAGATGAGATGGCTTAGTGGGTAAAGGTGCTTGCCACCACAATGACACCCAAAGTTCCATCCCAGGGGCCCACATGGTCGAAGAAGAGAACCAACCCTACAAGTTGTCCCCTGACCTCCATGTGTGCCGTAAAGGAAAACATGAAGTGAAGAAAATTAGAGGTTCATCTTACAGATACAGAAATCTAAATCAGCTGTTATCCAGCCAGAACTACAGTAATGTTCTCTTTCTAGTGCTGTGATAAAACAGTCACCAAAACCAACTTGAGGAAAGGGTTGATTTCTGCTTAGTTTATGAAGGGAAGTCAGGGCAGGAACCTGGAAGCAAGAACTGAAGCAGGGGGTGTGGACAAACACTGCTGGCTGGCTTGCCCAGCTTGCTTTCACATGTATCCCAGGACCACCTACCCAGGATAGCACCACCCAAAGTGAGCTGGGTCCTCTCACACCAGTCACTAATCAATAAAAATGACCCACAAACTTGCCTATAGGAAAGTCTGAAGTTTTTTCCCAGATTGTGTCGGGTAACAACTAATCAGCAAAATAGGTCTTTTAGAATTCCATCGTGACCAGGAACCCCACCACCAGGGAACAACTACTAAAAAGCGCTGGAGAGATGGTTCAGTGGTTAAGATCACTAGTTGCTCTTTCCGGAGGAACTGGGTTCAAATCCCAGCATCCACATTGTGGGTGACTCACAGCGGTTTGAAACTCTAGTTCCAGGAGACCCATTGCTCTCTTCCAGCCTCTGGGGGCACCACACACACACACACACACACCGTGCACATATATACATGTAGGCAAAACACCCATAAACATAAAATGAAAGTACTTTAAGTATATCAATAGATGCCACCACATCAAGAAAACCCACCATCTCTGTGGTAAAATCAAGAATGTGCTGATAAAATTTCATCCTCATGAAAAAATTGGGAAATACAACAGACTACCAGGGCACTTCACAAAATTAACAAGGTATCCACTAGAATCTAAGCAAATACCATGCTCAGTGATGAGAGTACAAATCTGAAAGTGAGATTAAACACAGGTGATAGCTGTCCCTCATATCTTGTATTCAACATGATCTTGCAGTATTACCTGTGCCAGAGAAACAAAAAATGGATGTTACTTTGAGACCACTTGATTTCATACATTTACATGGAGATAATCATCAAACCCCATCCCAACTATTGAAATTCGTCTCCACTACAGAGAGTGAACAGAAGCAAATGTGAAGCTATAGCTGTGGAATGCAGGATCCTATGTGGGGTAGGAAGACTGATTTGTAGAGGAGCAAAAATTTGGAGCTGTCTGTTAAATCTGAGACAAGAGCATTGAGGATGAAGAATCATGAGTTTGAGACTACTCTGGGCTATGTAACAAGACCCTATCTCAAAGTGGGGAGGGGTGGCTGGAGAGATGGCTCAGTGAGCAAGGACATTTGAGACTCAGATCTGGATCTCAGCACCTACATGCCAGCAGATGCCTGTAACTCCAGGTCTGAAAGGGCAGATACAGGAGCCTAGGGCTTCTAGTCCTTTTGGGTCTACCTGAGAAAACACCAGCCTGGGGCCGTGGGGGGGGCAGGGGCAGGAAAAGACCCAGCTTCAAAGAATAAGTGGAGAGAGAGGGGGCACCCAATGCCAACTCTGACCTTCGCATGCAGAAGCGTGCACACACACACAAATATTTTTAAAAGGCTCATTACGTTTGTTGATGGCATTCTGCTAAGCTTTATCAGTAGACTGAGCTGCAGGGAATTTCAGGAGTAAGGCATTTCCCTTCTTGGTTCTAGTAGTTCCATAAACAGACTCCTTCCTGCAGTATTTCAAGTGGATTCCCAAGTGCCAGGCTCTCAGAGTGTTACTGTGTTTTTTATCATGTGTGTGGTTGTGTATGTGTGTGTGTGTGTGTGTGTGTGGTGTATGTGTATGTATGTTCATGTGTTCTGTGTGTTGCATATGTGTGGGGTGTGTATGGTATATGTTTATGTGTGCTGTGTGTGTGTGTGTGTGTGTTTGCACATGTGATATATGTGTGTGAGTACATGCCGAGGTTCCCAGGATATCGGGTATCTTTCTTTCCTTGCCACTTTATTGCCTTGAGGCAGGGTCTTTTACTGAAGGGGGAAACTTACCATTTCTGATAGACTGGCTGGCCTGCAAATTCTTGGAATCTGCCTGTCCCCTACCCTCAATTCTGGAGTTACAGGAATGTGCATAGTCATGTCTGGCTTTCTACATGGATGCTGTGGATTCGAACTCAGGCCTTTGCAGCCTTGCCAGATCACCCACTGAGCCATCTCCCAACCCCTTGAAGTGCTGCTATTTTTCACACTTAAAAGCAGATTTGCTTTCAGTTACTAAATATACTCAACCTCACTAATAATCTAAGAATGAAAATTAAATACTGGGCTACATTCCTTCTCTAGTGAAAGTCTTAGATAATATACAGTGTGGAAGATGGCTCTCAGGTACCTGTGCTCTCTCATGTGACAGCTACTGGCACATGCTGCTGATTAGATGTTCTTAATTCCAACAAAATCCAAAGGCACAGTATAGCTCTTAGTTCGGAAAGAACATGAGTTTTTGGAGGGTGAGTTAATAACATTAATCAATAGGAACACTTTCATTTTCTTTAATTCATTTTTGCTAATTTAAGATCTAGCAATCTAACACAATAGAAATAGATTCAAGGGGGAAAGGTGTGTGTATATTCATATATTATGAATTGTTGTAAAGGCCTATATATTTGTTCATATCTACTAGCATGTTTTAGGAAGACTTTAAAACAAGATCAATGTAAAGTTTCTGAATAGCACACCAGCAGCTACTACCCATGAGGGAAATGGAATGGCCAAGCCGGTGACCAGTGCCTGCTGCAGAGTACCACACCTGCTGGGGGCATCGAAGCAGATGTAGAAAATTATTTGTGATATGTGTTACCTACTGGGAAAAGCAAATGTTGCAATAATACAAGCAACATGTACTATTTTCCAGATTTCAGTCACCATATGAAAGGGACTTCAGGACAGGATTAAAGAAGGCAACAGCACACATGAGATACAGAAGGGGAGGGATTGTTGCTAGGGACAGAATCATACAGTGGAGAAAGTGCAGGGAGTTGGGGATGGCTTCTAAACTGAACTGAACCAGTACATTTTTGTCATAACTCCTCAATATCGTATTTGTATACCATTTATATTGTACTAGATATTACAAATTTAAAGATAAACGATAGTCACTTTATTGAGGTATGATCTGTGTATAAATAGCTACATCCATTCAGTATTTGTCTACATATGGTCCCATGTCTGTAATACATGTACATTCATCTGTTTGAGATACAGGTGTGTCTGTAAAGCTGTTACACCACCGAGACCATGAGCGATAGCATCGTCTCCCCAAATTTCTTTCTGCCCCCTTATGGCCATTGTTGTGGAGAAATGCCTGAGATGATCAACTCATAAAGAAAAGGATTTATTTTGACTTATGGCTTTGGCGGTTTTGGGTCCTGGTCACTTGGCCCATTATTGTTTAGGCCAATGCTAAGACAGAACATCACAGCCACAGGAAACTTGTTACCTCATGGCCAGGAAGCAAAAAGAGGAAGAGGCCAGTATCCCAATAACCCCTTGAAGGGCACACCCTAGGTGGTGCAGCTTCCTCCAACTAGGCTCCATTTCTCAAGAGTTCTAGTATCTTGTCAGATGTGGTAGCATATGTTTATAATCCCTGGGGGGATTACAGATCTGAGACTTCACTACAGTTTGAACATAGTTAATAGTAAGACCCTGTCACTGAAAGAGAAAGTGGACATAGTGTCTTAAAATGTATATTTTTAAAGACAGAGGCAGCTGACACCTAGCCCCGTGTGGGGAGAGAGTGTGGGGACCGGTGGTTGGGAGATAACATAGGTGTTTGTTAGCCGCTCCATATCTGTTGCCTTATTAACAGTGTTCAGCGGGACTTTGAAAACCTTCCTGTTTCTGGGTCCCCTCTGCCACTTCCTCACTCTCACTCTGTGGCTGAGCTTGTAGAGCATGCTGATCCCTGGCCCGGCCCTGTCTCACCTCCCAGTAGTGTGTGCCCCCTGGGCCTCCGTCAGCAGTGCCCAGCTTCCTGTTGGGTGGTCCTGAGGGGAGCTGCTGGGGCACCCATTTGAAGCATTTGACCCTCTGCATGCTTTCCCACCAACAGATGAAAATGGTCAGGAACCTCTCTATCAATTCCCTGTCATGAGGCCCCCACCAGCGTCCTTACCATCTCTTCTCTGCCGTGTTCAGCTTCTTGATGATGCGGGCTAGTTATATCAGCTCACCTATCTAATCTCCAGTTTGTACACGCACATCCTGGTGTCTGGCTTAACTAAGGAGCCATTTCCTGAACCAGTTTGCACTGTTACCATGACTTTTCTTGAACTAATTTCAGTGTTCTTGAAACTATCCAAACCCACTCCTCTGACTGTCACAAACCTCTTCTGTTAGCCTGACCACACATCTTAGGTTTCCTGAGGTCTCTGAATTGGTCTGTCTGCTTTTCCCACACAATTCCATGGAGCACTATGCTGACACTCGGCCTCAGGCCTAGCTCTGGTTATGCAATCCAAGAATGAATGCCCAAGAACCTGACCACATTTGGAAATCTCATCTTCCAATGACTAGTACAAAAAACAAAACAAAAATCATCACTACTGATGCAGAAGCTACAAGTTATATGGAGTGCTCAGCCACAGAGAGGCATCTGGCATTACCCCACACTGCTGTCCTGCAAGGCTCAGGGGCCCTTCAAAAAGAGAAGACTCTACGAGCCAGAGGTAGAGCAGACAGTGGTAGTGCACGCCTTTAATCCCAGCACTCGGGGAGGTAGAGACAGGCAGTTCTGTGAGTTCGAAACCAGCCTGATCTATAGAGCAAGTTCCAGGACAGCTTCCAAAGCTACAGAGAAACCCTGTCTCGAAAAACCAAAATACAAACAAAATCATACAAACAAAAACCAGAGGTGGAGGAGGAGCAAAGGGAAATAGCATTCTCTAGTCAAGACCAGGCCACTGTACTTAAGAGCTCACAAAAGCTGTGTTTGCCCACCCAAGACCCAGCCAGTTACTATTCCAGCGTGGAGGAGGAGGGCGCCTTCATCTCCGTGTAAGTGCTTGCTCAGTCCCGAGCCATGACTTCTGCCTACAGACAACACGTCTGGACTGGCAAGGGCTCCCTAACTGCCCCTTCCCCACTTCATACTGGGTCTTCTGAAAATGGTCGTCAATTCTCACGACTCTGGAATGGTCTGTGGCTGTGAAGCCCCTTTGTCCTCTGAGTTGAGGACGTCTTTTTTCTTAACTGTTGTTTCATCACCTCTCGTCTGCAATTCACACAATTCACCCGACAGTCGATACCCACCATCTACCCTTCTCATAACAGTCCTGGGCTTCCCTCCACCCCAGCAAGTGCTCACTGTGCATGGCAACACCATCTTGTGAATTCTTGGCATGCAGCAAAAGAGGCGAAATGACTTCCGAGACTTTCTGGTTTGGGTGCAGAGCTTCCCTGAAAAGGCAGCCGCTGGGGAGAGCAGAAGGTGGGGATGAGGAATCTGGGCCGCTACTCTGGGACCCTGCTGGGCCTCCAGCTTCTTGGAGGGCCCCAGCAGAAACTGGGAGCCCTCACCAGTGAGGAGTGCGCCGCGGGAGGGGGTGGGGCAGGCAGCTATAACATGGCCGGTTTCTTCTGGTCTCTTGTAGACAGACTACGCAGTAAGTTTTCTTCTACCTCTATATTTCCCCATTCCTTCTCCTTTTCTGACTCTAAATCCACCCCTTCACCGTCCCAAGAGTCCAGGACACACTTGGGACACGTTCATCTCTATTGCTCTCGTGTGCACTTTTCCCTGCATTCTTAAGCTCGAGCTGAATTCACCCCCTCAGGGGGAGGAAAAAAAACGGAACTGGAGCGTTAGGACAGGGATGAGCCTGGAAAACGGACCAACTGGACCCTGAGAGGCTGGGCTTCCCGGGGAAGCCTGCTAGGGGAGCTAAGCACTTGGGGCTCCTGCGCTTCTAGTGGAATCAGTCTCAGGGAAGTCTGAAGCGCATAACAGGGCTGAGTTCAGGAAAACCACGCAGGGAAACAGAACAGATTATGAGGTTAATGTGGACCTCCCTCCCCCAACACTGCTGGCTGCTTCTGGCGATGTTCTTGCTTGAGGCTGTGGGCGGTGACCTACTATTTGACCCAAACTGGGGGTTTGACTGGTATGAAATCACCGTTCCCAAAGAGCTAACCTTTAGGAAAGGGGAGCGGGGTGTGGACAGTTCTTTGTCGTACCTCTTACAGATACAGGGCAAGAAGCATGTTATTCATCTATGGCCCAAGAAGTTTCTGTTGCCAAGAAATCTGCCTGTTTTCTCCTTCTCTCAAGAGGGCAGTCTGATAGAGGATTACCCATACATACCAAATGAGTGCAATTACATGGGCTCTGTGGAAGGCGCTCAGGAATCTGAAGCTACCATGAGTACATGCATGGGTGGTCTGCACGGCATCTTGAACATAGACTCCACTTATTACCAAATCGAGCCCCTCAGGACCTCTTCTAGATTTGAACACGTTGTGTATCTCCTAAGTAAGGACGGAGCTAGCAATGAGACCTGTGGCGTGGTTGATGAAGAAACAGATGAGCAAACCATCCAGGAAGAGGACACGGCTAGGATAAGTACCTTCCATAAATCCTACAGGCACCAAAAGTATTTGAAATTGCTCTTGGTCTTTGATACAAGTAGAGTTATAATTTTACTTGGCAATCGGACTAGAGTCATTTATGAAGCTATTCTTCTAACTTCAATTATAGACACCTACTTTCATGATGTCAGGATGAGGGTTGTTTTAAAAGCAATTGAAATTTGGTCACCCTATGACCAAATCTATACTCAGTATCCCACTTTAGACCTAGTGTTAGGTCAATTCGTCCTGTATAAAAGGTCATCATTGCATTTTCGGCTTCCCTCAGACTGGGCACATTTATATCTGGGAAAACGTTTTGACGATGCCTCAGCATGGTCCTGGGGAAGAGTGTGTGAAGAGTACCATGCTGGATCAGCAAACTCCTTACTAAATGTAAATCTCCTCGGACCTGCTACTTGGACCACTCACGAATTGGGCCATGCTGTGGGAATGAATCACGATTTGGAATACTGTCAGTGCCGAGGTAGGAAGAACTGCGTCATGGGTTCAGGACGTGTAGGGTTTAGCAATTGTAGTTACCTTCAGTTTTTTAAACATGCAGCTTATAAAATATCATATTGTCTATCTGAGATCCCAGAAAATATTTATGTGGTTAAGAGATGTGGAAACAAAATTGTTGAACACCCAGAGCAATGCGACTGTGGTTCCATAGAGGAATGCAAACAAGACCTCTGCTGTGGGCCAGACTGCAGATGGAAAAAAGGTGTCAACTGTTCCACCGGGCTTTGCTGTCATAAATGTGACTTCCTTCCATCAGGATATGTGTGTAGGAAGGAAGAAAATGAATGTGACCTTGCCGAGTACTGTAATGGGGCCTCAGGTTACTGTCCAAAGGACTTTTACAAGCAGGATGGAACTCCCTGCAGGTTTGGAGGACTTTGTTTCCAGAAGGGATGCAGATCCAAGAACTTACAGTGCCAGAGCATTTTTGGACCTACTGCCAAGGAGGGTCCTCCTCAATGTTATAATGAAGTTAATATGATAGGTGATCAGTATGGTAACTGTGGCATTAATAAAGCTCGATACTTAAGGTGTAATATGGACAATGCAATCTGTGGCAGGCTACAGTGTATAAATGTTAACGCCATCCCCAAAGTGCCAGAACACTCTGTTATAATAGTCACCCATCTGAAGAGAGATAATATCATATGCTGGGGCACAGGCTATCATGATTTCATGAAAGCCCATAACATACCTGACATAGGTAGGATTAATGATGGCTCCTTCTGTACTCATAAACAGGTGTGTATGAACAAAACTTGTGTTGACTCTGACACCCTGAAGTTCGACTGTTTGCCTGCCAAGTGCAAAGGCCGAGGTGCCTGCAATAATAGAAAGAACTGCCACTGCGTGTATGGCTGGGAACCCCCATTCTGTGAAGAGGTGGGATTTGGTGGGAGCATTGACAGTGGACCCCCTGGACCTAGGACAGAAGAACCCGAACCACCACCATCATTTCCAGTTCTGTATATGATGATCATGCGTATTGCTTTATTCGCCATCTCAGTGATCATTGTGTATTTTAGTCAGGTGATTAAAAAATGGTGTAAAAATCACTGGCAAAAACAACCAGTCAAGGCGCATCCTAAAACAGAGGCTGACCAGTGAAAAATGTAACTAGGCAATCCTGTCATCTAATACATTTGCCTATTTAACAAGCTCATCATTTATTCACATGACTCTTCTTTCTTTTCGCAGAGTGATTTCACACAAATTTCTCATACATTTAAAATCAGCTATCCTTGTTCGGAAACAAATCAGTGCAATCCCCCTTAAGGATTCATTTTCCTTTCAGGATGGGATCAAGCATTGGGTTACCTGAAAAGACTGCTTGCTAATGGCCCATCTGGATGCAGTCCATGTCAGGGGGTGATTAGTGTTCAGAGGAAAGTCCAGTCCTAACAGCCTAATGAAGTAGGTTTATCTCTCCCCTGTGTGTCTTTCAACTTTTTCAGTGATACCCCTGTGTACATGCACCCACCTGCTGCATGCACCTGTGCACCTGCTACATGATACTTGGTGATAGCACATTTTATAAATGAAAAATACACAGTACAAGGGTTGATCCCTTCAGTGGGATTTCCTGTCATGTCTCTTCTGGTGCATATACTTCTGTCTATTGCTGGGTGGTTTCTGACTTTGTGTTTGAGGCGACCTCTGATGAGTCTGCTATTCTGAGCTGTAATGACACTTGCATTCTGTACAGCCTATAGACGATGGCAGCTCTTGGCATGGCTATTAACAAAATTTAATATTTGATGCATTTTTAAAAGATTTATTTACTTATTATGTATACAATGTTCTGCCTGCATGTATGCTTGCAGGCCAGAAGAGGGCACAAGATCTCATTACAGATGGCTGTGAGCCACCATGTGGTTGCTGGGAATTGAACTCAGGACCTCTGGAAAAACAGCCAGTGCTCTTAACCACTGAGCCATCTCTCCATCCCCCATTGCATGTTTTTTTTGGTGGGGTAGTTTGTCAGCTTGACACAAGCTAAAGTCTTCTTTGAAGAGGAAAGGGACCTCAACTGGGAAATTATCTCTATCAGATTGGCCTGTAGACAAGTCTGTGAAGCATTTTCTTGATTCATAGTTGTTGTGGGAGGACCCAACCCACTGTGGGTGGTGCCACCCTTGGGCAGGTGGTCCTGGGTGGCATAAAAAAGCAAACTAGCAAGTCATGAGGAGGAAACCAGAAAGCAGCACCCTCCATGGCTTCTGCTTCAGCTCCTGCCTCCAGGTTCCTGTATAAGTACACATTTCTCTACTGCTCACCAGTTCCCAAATAACCATTCTGAGGCTTCATATTGATTATAAATGTTTGACCAATGGCTTGGGCTTATTACTAGCTGGTTCTTGCATTTAAATGAACCCATTTCTATTAACCTATGTATCGCCACGTTGACCAGTGACTTAGCAGTTGCTCCTTGGGTGGCTGCTGGCGTCTTTCTCCCCCCCCCCTCTTTCAATCCTCAGTTTGATTTTTCCACCTAGCTCTATCTTGCCTGGCTATTGGTCAAACAGATGTTATTATTAGCCAATGAGGACAACATATATTCACAGCATACAGAAAGACATCCTACATCATTCCTGCCTTGTTTGAGTTCCTGTCCTGGCTTCCTTTCATGATGGACTGTAAATTGTGAGCTGAAATAAACCCTTTCCTTCCCAAGTTGCATTTGATCATGGTGTTTATCACAGCCAAAGAAAGCAAACTGAGACGATGTGTCTGTTTTCACTGGTAGGTCTTTTTAAGAGGCCCTAGGCTGGGCTGTTGCATCCCTAAGTACAACTGAAAAAAGTGAATGCCTTTTGCCCCCAACATCCTCCGATGCTCTGCCTCTCAATCTCTACCTGTGTACAGTGCTGCCATGGTAGAGAAGAGGAAACAACCCCTTCCCACAAGGAGTCATTGTCACTTCTATGTCCAGAGGAAGTTCATCCTTCCTCCATACTTGGGCCATCCCAAGTTGTTGCCTCCAGTTCAAGTCTGGATCTTCTGGCTGTTCCCATTGAGACAGCATGACAGCCTCCTGTACCATGTCCCAGTTTGCTGTGCCTTAGCCACAAGAGTTCTAATTAAAGGCAAAATTAGAGCAGACACCATCATCTAGTCTGTCTAAACTACTTTGGGTTTGTATTCAAAAAAAAACTTGGGTTTTGTGACGATCATAATTCTAAACATTAAGGTTGGCCGGCCATGCAGTGTCCTAAAATATAAGGACACTGTGTCACAGCCGAGTACAGATAATGATGAGAGTTCACTATGTGCCAAGCAATAGCCTAAAGACTTTTATATGTTTATTGTGTACACTGTTAAAAATGACTCTGCTATAAGTGTTTTAATTATTTTTAGATTCTAAATTTTATTTATATGAGTGCTTTAATGTAGGTATGTATGTATGTATGAATGTATATATACAATATGCATGCTTTGGTACAGAGAAGAAGACATAGATGCCCTGTTGCTGGTGTTATGAATCAAACCACCATGTGGATGCTGGGAACTGAACTAAGGTCCTCTGCAAAAGTCCTTAACTGCCCAATCATTTGTTAGCTCTGGTACTTGTTTTTCAATAGAAAATAAGCCACCACAATGTCAAAAGACCTACATAATCTTCTACAGTTATAAAAACATTACTTGAGGGAAAAACTTCGTATCAAATTTAGAGACAATGACTAAGAAATCTTAAAGTTGTTAGTACATTAGGAAGTGGGTTTTTAACTTTTCAGGGAAAACTATATGTTTATAATATTTACCATTGTAACCATTTTGGTGGTAATTAGTACATTTCATTTTGTGCAGATATTCCAGATAATGCTTCTTTTTTTTGAGGCAGGGTCTCACTATGACTCCCTCTCACCCCCCCCACCTATAGCACAATTCTAATATATCTTAATAATAAAAACCCAGAGTCAGATATTAGGGGGAAGGCTGAAAGATCAGAGAAGCAAAGCGGCCAGCCACTAGAGAGTTCTCACCTCTACCAAAGCCCAGACCAAAAGGGCAATCCTGTCCTCAGACTGCATCTCCAGACTGCATTCTCAGACTGAATACTGCTCAGACTCTTGCCTCAGACTGATGGCCAGACTGACTACACTGAGCTCCTGTTTCCACCTCCCTAGTGCTCAGATTAAAAGCAAGTGATCTCAAGTGCTGGGATCACAGGTGTGAACTCTGTTTCTCTTTTAGACTGGATCAATCTCATGTAGCCCAGGGTGGCCTTGAACTCACAGAGATCTGTTTGCCTCTGCCTCCCAAGTGCTGGGATTAAGATCTTGCATCACCACCACCCTGACCAGACTCTATGGCCAACAAACTGTGTGTGCCATCACTGCCTGGCCTTTATGGCTAACTAATGTGGCTAGCTTTGCACTCTGATTTTCAGGAAAGCTTCATTTGTTAGATCATAAACAAAATATCACCACACCCACCCATCCCCATTGGTCAGGGACTCTTTATACATTTTATGTAGACAAGGCTGGTCTCAAACCCACAGCAATCTGCCTTCCTCTGGTCTCTTGGCTGTTGGGATTAAAGGTATGCCCATCCCCCATGGCAAGACTCTTTCAAAACTAATGTTGTAGATCCATTAAATCACACTCCATTCTTTCTTTCCCATATCCTCATAGTCTACTTTCTGTCTGTGTGAATTGGTAAGCTAAATCCCTCCTAATTTTGTATCCTTTTCTTTAATAATTCGTTAAGGATCTTAATTATTTAGTCCTAACTAGCCTGAGCAGGCTGGCCTCAAACTCATAGAGATCCTTCTGCCTCTGTTTTCCATGTACTGGGATGTATGATATATCATTTATGATTTATTAAAGCTTGCCTGAGGATTCAGAAAACAAAGCCAGCCACAAGCCACAGAAGCCAGGCACACACCTTTAATCCCAGCAGCTGGAAACTAGAAGATGGTGGTACACACCTTTAATCCCAGCAGCTGGAAACTAGAAGATGATGGTACACACCTTTAATCCTAGGACTCAGGATTAAGAGGTAGATGGATCTCTGTGATTCCAAGGCCACTGAGATCTACACAAGATGGATCCAGTTCTAAGGAGAAACAGCTCATACAAAAATGATCTCAACACCCGGGAACACATGCCTTTAGTCCCAGCACAAGAGGGGTATAAAAGAAAGGAGCAGGGTCTTCAGTGGTCAGGATCAAGCATTCATTCTTCAGCCACTTTGAGGATAGGAAGACATTGAAGTCTCAGGATTCTACAGCCTCGCTGAGGATAGAAAAATACTGAAGCCTCAGGGTTCTCCAGCCATACTGAGGAGAGGCTTCAGACTGAGGTTTGATGAAGCCAGGATCAGCCCCAAGAGCTCATGGCATGGCTGCTTTGCTTTTCTGGCCTTCAACTTGAAGTTTGAACCCCAATATCAGTCTCTGGGTCTTTTATTTATTATGTTAAACACTGGAATAGCCATAGGTTTTTGTTATTTGGGTTTTTTTTTGGTTGTTTTTGCTTTGTGTTTTTTGCTTTGTTTTGTTTTTGTTTTTTCGACACAGGGTTTCTCTGGTTCCTTTGGAAGCTGTCCTGGAACTTGCTCTGTAGACCAGATTGGCCTCAAGCTCAAGAGATATGCCTGCCTTTGCCTCCCAAGCACTGGGATTAAAGGCGTGTGCCACCATTGCCCTGCACTGCATTTTATTTTATAAAACTGATTATTAGTCATTTGTATTTTTCTTTTAAGAACTTGGGAGGCAGAGGTGGGCTGATCTCTGTGAGTTTGAGACCAGCAGCCTTACCTACTAGAGCTAGTTCCAGGACAGCCTCCAAAACCACAGAGAAATCCTGTCTCGAAAAACAGAAAACAAACAAAAAGAAAAGAAAGAAAAAAAGGAAGGAAGTAAGGAAGGGAGAAATGAAGAAAAAAGAACTCTGTGTTCAGTTCCATGGCCCATTTTTAAAAACTGAATTATTTGTTTTTGTGATGTTTATTTTTGTGACTTCTTTGTATATTCTGGATACTAATCTTTCTCGGTCAGATTTATAGGTGGCAAATATTTTCTCCCATTCTGTAGGGTGTTTTTTAATTTGACTGTCACTTTCTTTGGCTGTATAAGAGACTTTATTGTTGAGTTCCATGAGATCCCATCTGTTTGGCCTGTTTCCTAGGTGATCAGACTCCTATTTAGAAAGTCCTTAC